GGAATTGAAGATTTTCCCCGAAAATCCTCCGCCGGCGCCCGTTCCGTCCGATCGCGGCGGTGAAATTACTCCCGTCGGCGGCGACGGCGGGGGTGGTTCCGGGAATTTAGGGCTCAGTTTGGAGACCTCGAAGGAAGCTAATTCTCGATCGGACGCGTCTTCGAAAGCCAGAGGTAATTCTTTCTCGCGACGGTATTATAGATTTTGCTTTATTTATAGTTTTTGGACCCAATTTGTCCGTGGATTTATAATTTTGCCCCTCAACTCTTGTTTTATTTGAAATCCGGACCTATTAGTTGGGATATATATATATATATATATTATAGTTCAAAATTTCCCTTTATTTTAACCATTATTTTAAATATCAATGTCGATTTTGTGTTAAAATACTAAATTACAAAATATATATATATGTCTGTATATATTTCTTAATTACAAAATATATATATATGTCTGTATATATTTCTTTTTTAACTTTGTGTTTGTTTCAAAAATATTTATATTCTTTTAAAAGTTTAAATACTACCTTTTATAATATAAAGGTTTCAAAATTACCTTTAATGGTATTTCTCTTGTAATTTAGCTCAAATTATTTGTTCTAATATTATGTTCACATTAAAAATTTATTTTGTCCATTTAGTCGTAATAAAAATATTGACTTTCACCTCAAACTTTTTTTTAGTTCAATATGTGTATGAGTTGGAAATCSGAATTGACAATCTTTTGATAGGATAAAAAATTCAATCAAAATAAGGATATATCGATAKAAATTTAATATCATGATTCTAACCACTATTAAAAATATGTTTGAATTCTAGTTTGGTCTTTAAAGATCATTCTTGTTGATCTTGTTTCTGTTTATATTAATGTCCTAACTTTCAAATAATTTATTTTAATCATTGCATTAATTTTTTTAATCAATTATTACCAGAAACCTAACAAATAAAGGATGCATATATTTCATTTACCAAGTGTAAAAGATTAGAGACAAATAAAAACACTAAAAGAGTTTGAAAACCAAGAGGAAATAAAGATGGAAGTTCTCATCAACTAAAATAAATGTTTTTTTTACAATAAAATAAATTTTTTTCCGAACCTATAATGATCTTGTGAAATTGAACAAGGTGGGTACAAGTTAGCTTTGACACTCATTGGATATGAAAAAAAAAAGATTTTTCTTGGAAACATGAAATAATATTTAACAAAGATTATAATTTTAAATTAATTTTGTCTCAGATAGAAAAAACAACCTTTTAAAGTTTGTTGGTTGAATATTAACTACACATAGAAAAACAGAAAAACAACCTTTTATAATCTAAATTAATTTTGTCTCGAATAGAAAAACCTTTTAAAAAGTTTATTGGTTGAATATTAACTAAAAAAATAACATTTTAAATTTAAAGAAGATTATTATTATTATTATTATTATTATTATTATTATTATTATTACTATTATTTTAAAATTTTAATTTTAATGTTTGCAGCAGCAGCAGCATCAGCAAGTGGGATGACAAAACTTGTACTGTACATGCTTGGGAAGAGGGTGTTAAAAAATCCAAATACCTATGCCAGCTTATTCGGCGTCGTTTGGTCTTTAAYATCATTCAAGTATTCTTATTTCTCCTTATTTCATGCATCTTTAATGCCTTTTTTTAGCTTCAAAATCTTTAATTTTCTCCCTTTTTTTAGTATATATGTTAAGTCTAGTTATTATACATATTTACAGATTTATTAGACCCAAATTTAAAATATGTTGAAAATTCAATTTTATTAGATACGATTTTGAAAGTTAAAAAACTATAATATATAGTCGTAATTTAATATGAATAAAAAGGTCTTGCATCAACATTACATCATTATTTTAATAATTTTGAAGATTAAAGACGAGTTTAGGATGTTTTCTGAAAAAAAAATATTTTTCATAACTTTTTGTTTGTTTTTAGAATTTTTAGACAACTTTTGACTATCAAAAAAATTTTAAGTGATTTTAAATTTTTAGAAATAAATTTGACCATTGTTTACAATTTTATCAAACACTATCAATCTTTTTCAGAAAAAATAAGTAAATAAATAATTGGGACAACACACACTTAACTATGATCCAAAAACCAAAATATAACGGTAGAATTTCAATTTCAAGTGCTTTCAACCAAATTTGTTGTTTTCCTTATTGTTTTCAAAACTTACTTTTCCAAAATTATTTTTAAGAATTATAATGAGATGACTGAAAAAGTATATTAAATTCATTATCCAAATATATATAGTTTTGGAATGAATATTGAAGAAAAGAAAATTGTAGGTCATATGTGGTATTATACCATGAAAAAAAAAATAACGCTCTTTAAATAGTTATCTAAATATGTTTTCAAAGTTATTCTTATTTTTAGTGTCTTTTCCTTCCAACTTTTTTTAAAACATAAATATTTGGTAATTTCTCTTTTGCATACAAATTTAGGAAATAAAAATAAAATTGGTTTCTAGTTCCTCGTTTTTTTTTTCTAATTTTCCAAAAACATAAWTAAAACATTAATTTTATCCCATCATCACTTATAGGCATAATAAATATTCCTTTAAAAAAATATATGGTAATAAGTTAATTATTTTATTTGATTTTTTAATTTAAAATTTAAGAGAATAAAAAATAAAAAAATTGTTTAACTAAACGTTTTTCTATACCATTTTTTAATTATGAAAAAAAAGTAAGAAGCAATTATCAAACACATATTTGTTCTTCTTTTTATCGGACTATAAAACAAGAAACACGAAATGAAAAATAAGAAACGAGAATGTTATAAATGAATCCTATTTTTCTCGAATCCGACTTCAAACATCATTATTTCCGATCCTTYCCCGTACTTTCTCCAATTTAGCTAAAATGTGTTATAACAAATGCAGATATGGCATAAAAATGCCAACATTGATGCACAAATGCATATCAATGTTATCAGACACAGGCTTGGCTCTCTCCATGTTCAGTTTGGGCACTTTCATGGCCGTGCAGCCGAACATCATCGCTTGTTCAATGTCACAGGCTGCCACCGCCATGGCTGCTCGGTTCCTCATTAGCCCCATGCTCGTTGCTGCCATTTCCATGCTCGTTGGCCTCCATGGGATTGTCTTGCACACCGCTATTATTCAGGTTAATTATCTTATCACCATTCTGTTTTAGTCTCTAAGCTTTTACAAAAGCTCAGTTGAATGGTCGCTAATTAGGTTATTCATTCATGTCTAGGCGGCTTTTCCTCAAGGGGTTCTTTCATTCGTATTGGCTAAGGAATACAATGTTCATCCAAATGTACTCAGCACCTCGTAAGTATTTTCTTTTGCTAAAAAATTATTCAACGTGACCGACATAATATAACTCTTGTCTTTCCTTAGTTGACGTGCTACATGGTAATAGATATTTTAATTTAACATTAAATTTTAAAGTTAAACTATACCAGGTTGAATTACCAAGTTTCATTTATAAATTTTTTAAGGCGGGTCCAAATATATCTTTGAACTTTTAAAAATGTTTAAGGTTTTTAAAGTTTCAATCTTGTGTCTAATAATTTCCTAGCCCTATTATAAATTTGTATTTTTCTTTAGGTAATTAAGATGGTCCTAATTTTTTTAATTAGGTAGAGTGAGAGTGGATATTTAACATTAATGAATGACATGTCTGCTAATTTTTTTTTTTAATGTTGAATTACCATTCAATTATTTAATTTTAGTGGTATTATTGAGTAAAAATTTGATTAATAATATTGGTACCTGGAAGTTAAAATTAAAACTTTTGAAACATTAAAGATGACATTGAGAAATGATACATATTATAGGGACCAAAAGATACATTTAGCTATATAAATACTTTTTAATATAGAGTGACTTCCTAATGACTTTAAAAAATATTGTTTTGTAACAAATTATTTATAATATTTTTATAAATACCATGGAAATATGTCGATTTATCCTTCGTATTGATATCGAACACATGRACACAAAAATGTCGACAGATATTTAATACTCTAGTTTTAATTTGATAAAAAAAAGGTTCTCAATCGTTACTTTTTATATATTTAGTAACGAACAAGGCGGTTGAAAAAACAAATCAAAACATCGACAATGAAATTGAAATTTTAAAAAAGATTACGGACAAGATTAAAAAATGACACAAATATTAAAGATTAAACTATATATTAAGCGTATTAATTGTTTATAAATGTAATTTTTTTTCACATACAAATGGTTGATATCACCCATTTATTTACATCATTTTTTTTTCTATTGTTTTGAAGGGTGGTTGTTGGAATGTTGATTGCCTTCCCAATAATTCTGATGTATTATATGCTTCTGGGGGCCATTTGGAAATAAGGCAAACTAGAAGTCCTGAAGAGTAAAAAGTGGAAAATTTTGGGGCAGAATTTAGAAAGCATCTTCAATTGTGTTTATAGGTATACAAAAATTACACACAYATATTAGAGGATGGTTTTCATTGTCTTTGTAGGTTTTGTTTAATTTCATTGAGATGTTTTATTTTGAGTTGTATTTTTTAATTTATAAGGTTGTAATTATGTATTTGTGTGATTTCTAGGRTGTGTCTTGTTTCAAATTCCGCATAAATATAAAATACGGTATTTCTTAAAAAAAAATAATAATAATAAGGTTAAAAAATATTTTTAGTTGCCTAGTTCAACGGTAGAAGTTGTGAGTTCGATCTTCTATTCAATCTGTTGTACTCAAAATATTATTTTGATTTTAAAATTCTTGGATAACACATTTAGCCCACTAAATTTTGTAAGGRTATTTTGGTCAACATTTTCATTAAATGGGGTAAATTAAATTTTTGATATTGACATTTCTATATACCCATAAGATTTGAAATTGACATAAAGATATGAGTCAATATTGTTATAATAAAAATATTAACCAAATATAAAATAATATATATAACATAATATTAATAATAACAACTTTTAACCTATTTAAAAAACGTGAAATGTTTATTTATTAATTTAAATACTTTTTTTTAATTTTATGTTTTTTTTTAAGGGAAAGTTTATTAAACTTAGATGCCATTAAAGCTACATAGCTTTGATAATTAGCATCGTGATGAACACAAAAAGGGAAGTTGGAGAGCCATAGATGTGCTTGTCCTATGGTTTGATTCCCTGTAGATGTGATGAAACGAAATTAAGGAGAACTTGTAAGAAAGCTCTTTGATGTCCAAGATCCAATTTGTCTCTTCACCTCTCCAATCAAGATCCCCACGAATCAAATTTATTGCCTCCAAAGAATCAGGCTCGATCAAACTCGATCCCTACAAATTCTCCGTCAAGAATCTCCCGCGATTCCCACAAAATATTGTGGAAAATTTTGGAAGAATGGAGAATTAAGTAGAGGGCAGGACGGGAAACCTTCTACAATTTACAAGAGCATTAAAAATTTATCATATAAAAACGAAAAACACGTTTCCATTACCTCCTCAGAAGTCAGAACAGTGAAATTTTGTCCTCGCAAAATCGAATCACAGCTCATTTGATCGTTCGTTCATGGTGGACTGCTCAATTTCCCAATGTCTCCGACTCTGAGCTCTCATCTTCTCAAGACCACTCTCTCCCTCTCACTTTCATCTTCCATTAACTTCTCTTCCAAATGTCGTTTCTCTTCCGTTTTTGCTCCTCGCCCCCTCATCGCTAGGCTCTCCCGCTGCTGCCTCTCCACCAAGACCGCCGTCGGCTCCGCTCCTGATTCTGCCATGGATGCCGTCCAGAGGCGCCTTATGTTCGATGATGAGTGCGTTTCTTCTTAATCCCTACCGTCAACGATTTCCCAGTTTTAGATTTTTCATTTCTGATTCGGGTTTCTTTTGTTTGTATCGTTGAGTTATTTTTCTGCTTTCTGTTTCCATCGTGATTGCTGGTATTTTGTCTTTTTGTTGTTGTATGACTTCTGSGTACTGGGTAGAGTTCTCTAGGCTGTTTGGTGAACTTGGAACAGGGGAATTTATCCAGTCCTTGTTAATTTACCAATAGCATTAGCAATTGCTCCATATTTTGATTCTGTTTCAAGCTAAACAGAGGCTTTTTTTTAGTTTGCAAATTGGTGAGCTTCAAAGTATAAGGAATTGCTGTTTGCTTTTGCTAGACTTAGAAGCCAGCCTTGTAGGCTTGGCTATTGGATTAAATGTTTCAAAAGTAGTCGAGTCAAGTTAAGGGGTTGGATGAAACACCTATGCAAATTGCTACTAATGGTTCTTCGTGATGATTCAAAGAGTAATCTTCTTCAGCTTCTATATGGGTTTAGGGCTTGAATTGTGTCTGAGGGTGTATTTGTTATGGGTTAATGCAGTCAAGGCCATCATTTCGAGATTATGAGTTGAGCGCAATCAAAGAACTTTTGAGGAGTTCAAGGCTTTCTAATGGTCTTTGCTTTCTAGTTTGCTTATTAATTATTCTTGAAATGATATTTGTTTTGACTTGGATGCCTTCATATCCCATTCATGGTGTGTTTTTTTCTTTTTGTTCTTTTTTCACTCTTTATGGGAGCTTGTATCCTTTGAAAATTCTTGTTCTTTTCATTAGTCAATGAAAAGTTCATTTTTTGGTTAAAAAAAACACCATCCAATGGAGTTGTAGTTTGAAAACTCACTTTCAGCCGAAAGTTCAAAGGCACCTTAGAGTGAACCATGATGGGTAAATCCATCAACATAACTTGTTTATTTTTCCTTTCTTGTTCCATTTTGTTCTAGTGTACAAGGAGAAGTCAGAATGTCGGTTGCATTAACTTCGTCTCTCTTTTTCTTTCTTTCCTTCATTTTTCCCCATTTTCTTATTCTTACTCCCGATGGATAGTCTATGAGGTTGTTTGTTATCTTCCATTTTGAGTACCACATTCTAGGTCTGATTAGTGCAGAACTTTGTCGTGTGCATTACTTTACATGCTGAAATTTGTTGTACTTTTCTCAGAGTTTTCCTCTAATTATTTGATAGGAACTAGTGCAAATTCATTCGTTTGATTACTTGCAAGGGATAATTCAAGAGACCAAACTAGCTCCACCGGTTACATTCAGTTCAGCCAAAATCCAGATACCCCACATTTATTTTCTGTCCTACCTGTACCTCCTGGCTAACTAGCCCACCCCTTTGCATCACACCAATTTTATGCCTAACCGACAAAAGGGTCCCTGCTACCCCTTTCTCACCAAAATTACCCGGAACGTGCTTTTTGTGTTTCTTTCTATTACACTTGATGTTTCACAGGGGCCTATGATTATTCATTTAGGTTTAATTAATTTTTGAGTTGTGTATGAATTTCTGTCTAATGGTTTTCGTTTAAAGACTTACACTTTGAGTGTAATTAGATCTGCCTCTTTTTCTGTTTTCCTTTCCTCTTTCTTTAGTTACCTCTTACATCATGCTCTTATTGATCAATAGCTTAATCATGCCAGAAACTGATGAAATTGTTTTCAAATGAAACCTTGCAGATGCATTTTGGTGGACGAAAATGATAATATTGTTGGTCATGATTCTAAATATAATTGTAAGTAATAAATCTTCCTCTTAAAGCTCTTTTGAACATGGGTCGTGATTCTAAATATAATTGTAAGTAAAGGCTTCTGGATTGGAGTATGTTTCTGCTAGGTTAGGGCTTTGGTTCCTTTTGTGGGACTTGCTTTTTTGTTCGCACATTGTATATTCTTTCTTGTTTCTCAATAAAACTTGGTTTTCCACACACCCACTGTTTAAAAAAAATAATAATAAAAATGGTGACTATCATTTATTTGATTGAATTTCATCATTGCCTGGAACTTCAATAAAGTGCTACATCACCTCATTTTGTGTGTATTTTATACATTATTTAATTATGCTACGGCAAGTTAATTATAACTAAAAAAAGTATATACTTTTCCAAATTGACGTAGATTTTAGTGGGATGTACGTCTCATATATCCACTTCGCCACTCCTCGCATTCACCTAATTAATCTATGAATTTTGTTTCTTGTTTAACCTTTTACTGTGGTCACCTTGATTATTTATTTGGTCTTATAATTTGCAGGTCACTTGATGGATAATATTGAGTCAAACAAAGCGCTCCATAGAGCTTTCAGTGTCTTCTTGTTTAACTCTAGATTTGAGTTGCTTCTTCAGGTATGTAGTTTACAATATTTTGGGTATTAACCTTAACATTTTTCAGCAATGCATGTTCTCTTTGGGTTTCTTAGACCATCTTCAACCGTCAACCTTTCACTCTCCCTAATTTCTTTCCTCATACTTTTTCTCTCCATGTTTTTTTCATTTATCCCCCACCGCAGCTAAAAATGAATAGATGTGGAAACAAAAATCTAATGGGTATCAGAAAGGAAGGAAAGAAAGATAAAATCAGAACTAAACAGTGAGAAAAACTGGATTTTTTCCAAACCAACCTCATACTCGAGCATATTATACCTACACCAAGCACACAAACTGAATGTACAAGAGACATGGCAAGAACAAGTGACAGAATTCAAAATAGACCTCCTACATGCCTAACCCAACTCTCTTGACGATGACAMTCCTAGAATGGGTAGTATTGAGATACAACTACTCCAAAGTGATGACCCAAATTCAAACTCTAGCCCCACTTGGAAGAAAACCCAATGGCCTCGAAAAGAACTCTAGACGAGGCTCTAATACCATGTAGTTTAATATCGAGAGAGTACTTGTTATATTTCATATACTGAAGTCGCATATATATGAAATATGCCTAGGAGTGTTGAACTACAAGAATGTCAAATTACAATAAATGGGAAAATACTAATAAACCCCTAGATCTAATACATTTACACTATTATACATAGTAATATATACTGTAACAACCTTTTCCTTTTCTCTGTTGTTAGCAACGTTCTCCTACGAAGGTAACATTTCCTCTTGTTTGGACGAACACTTGCTGCAGCCATCCATTGTACAGGGAATCTGAGCTTATTGAGGAGGATTCACTTGGTATGCTTGTGATAGGAGTTTCATTATAAAGTCACTTAAGCTCTATCACAAACATTTTTTCTTCATGAACTCTAGGAGTAAGGAATGCTGCACAGAGGAAACTTTTTGATGAACTTGGTATTGCTGCTGAAGACRTGCCGGTTGATCAATTCATTTCTATTGGCCGCATTCTCTACAAGGCACCATCTGATGGAAGATGGGGAGAGCACGAGCGTAATCATTCTATCTCTACCGTTTTACATTCATCTGTTCTGCTCTGAAGTTATTCTACTTGGTTGGTTTGTTAGAAATGGAACTGAAATTGTTGTAGGAAAATCACTACATAACATGTCTGCTGCACGTTTCTGAAGTCTTTTGTTTAAGTTTTATAGTTGTATCTTGCCTTGAAGGACTAGTTTAAGCTTGTGAGTTTATTGATCAATATCGTATTAGAACAAGAAGTCATACATTCAAACTCTTATAATATCATTTCCTCTCTAATAATATTAATAATTCTCTCCTTCGTCTGGGTATTCTACTCATTTTCAAGCTAAGCCTGCATATAGGAGGGAGGGTTAAGAGTATATATAAGAGATTTGAATATATCATAACCTATCAGCTTAGCTTCGAGTTTTTCGAATTTATGGMWAGTTCAATAATTGCCCTCATATCTTGTTGCTTGCAGTTGATTACCTCCTCTTCGTGGTTCGGAACATAAATGTCAATCTGAACCCAGACGAAGTGGCGGATATCAAATACGTGAACCAGGAACAATTGAAAGAGCTGTTGAGGAAAGCAGATGCTGGAGAAGATGGGGTAAAGTTGTCGCCTTGGTTCAGGYTGGTTGTGAACAACTTCTTATTCAAGTGGTGGGACCATCTTGAGAAGGGGACTCTCCAGGAAGTTGTTGACATGAAAACCATTCACAAGCTTACCTAAAGCCTGGTTGCAGCCTACTTTCAGTTCTGAATATCAAYTGATATTTTGTTGGTAATTTTGTGTGATTATGATCATAAAATAAAGATGGGTATAATAATTGGGATATCAACACAAGTAGACCATTTATGTAACATTTTTGCTCAATTAACAATAGAGCTCAGAAAACTAGAAACCTTTGTCATCTTTTTATTGGTAGTTTTCTTTCAGCCTTCATCATAATCCCTTCCATTACATTTAGTCAAAGTTATGCCATTTTTCAATGGCAAATATTAAGGTGACATGAAGTTTGCTTCAACTTTAATTTTCATGTTTTTTTTTCTCAAAGATAGAAAATCTTTGTATATAGTTGTTGTATTTATAGAATTTATAATTACAAAGCCTAATAATTTTTGTTTCATCCAAATTGGGGCTAAAAGGAGTAATGAACAAAGTAAAAATATATTAAATTTAAGCAAATTGGGAAAGCCTTCCCCATCCTCGTCTCCACCCCCATTTAATTCCCCATTCTTGTAAAATTTTCCATGAAATTTTATGGGGATCGAGTTTCCCACTGGGATTTTTTCCCTTTATTATTTTTAACTTTTAAAACTATTTCTCAATTAAATAATTAAGAAAAAATTCTTATTAATTGCTTAATTTCTCATGATAAAACTTCAAGTTTAAAACCTTTCACACACATATCTCCCCCCTCGTTTTGGTAACGAGAAAAATGTATATTAATATTTAGTATATATATAAATATATATTTAAAAATAATTGTGGCAGGCGGGGAACAAAGAACGGAGACAAAGAATGCGTTCCTTATCCCCATTTCCATTTAGGTAACGGAAAAAAATGTCCCCCATACCTACCCCAGGAATCTAAACAAGGATTTTCCACCCAATTTTGGACGAGTCCCTGCAATATCTTATCCCATGAAAAAAATGAACATCCTTAAATACATATTATTTTGGCATGTCGATAACACAACGACTCGTCAATAACTAGAATAGAATAAGGTGATTCGTTATGATTTTCGAAGGCAAATTATACTATGAGATTCCATTGCTCTTTCGACTATGGTGTTTTATTTATGTCGTCTCTAGCAAAAGAAATTTCACAATGGCGATGACTTTGTCCTCGATGGCGACTTTTTCGCTTATGAAATTTTCTCAAATTGTTTCAACATCTTTTTTCAATCTTCTTTCAACCATTTCCATATTAATTTACTTAGGAAAAACAAGCCAAATGTAATGACTATATATATTTTTTTCCCTTCTTTTTTAATATAAAATATAAATTGGTAGCCTCCACACATCCAGCTTTTTCACTAAGTTTGAAAATCCAACAAGACGGCACACTTTTAACACACAAAATCCAACTTTCATCCTTTTTTATTCATTATAGTCCCATGCTTTCAAGGACCGACACCGTTAACAAGGACATGGAACTTAATACCAAATATTCTTGATGCCTTTCGATTCCGAAAATTAGAGCGAACGCAAATACTCCAGATTATAGGGGTAAGAAGCTAAATAGCTATCAATTCCAAGTTATAAAAAAAAAAAAAAAAAAATTAGTCTCCTCATGATTCGGTAAATGCATTTGATTTAGAGGTTTGAAACTTTGGTCCACGTTCAGTTCAGCCATATATGAAGTGTACCATCTTTCCTAACCAAACTTAGAAGATGCACATAATTTTGGTTCAATCAATGCACTATTTTCCTTGCTATAAGACAGGGAGTCTATGATCTATATATTATCTACCTCATTGACATTTTTCCTTGGACACTCAAGGTAAACAACAGGGAGCAAGAACAAAAACGCGCCGGACGCACTCCGATGCTGATTCGGTTCGAATTGAGTTTTGGTCGAGTTCTAGTATAATAGAGAGCATACATTTACTCATTTTTCATCCTTGAGTATATAAGAAAGGAAGTTTATTATGATTCTCGCTAATCGTAGATTACTAGTAGAATATCTATGACGTTATTGTGACTTGGTAGGATGTATGAAGCAACTCATGTATGCAAATGATTGTATTGCTATAGTGTAGAATAGATCAGCACTATAGGCATGTCACACAAACTTGTAGGCATGTGTTTCAAAGAGAGCAAAGGAGGAAGTGACGTGGAATCACTTTTGTGATTGTTTCCTTAAATCAAGAGTCTTTAATAGCAAAGCGAGCATAACTCAACAGTAATTGGCATAATTGGCACATATCTTCAACTCAACATGTTGTATTAAAAGAAAAAAAACCTTTAATTGAGATTTTAGGCAAAGGAAGCTGATTTAAGGCTATCCTTAAGACGAGGAAACTAAATTGGAAGAAAATTACATTTTGGGTTTTGGTAGCTTTTTGTTTTTTTGCATTAACATACCATTTGGTGTGGTCTCGCCGAAGCATGCTCACCTACACATGGATTATTAAAAGYTAAATTATAAATTTAGTTCTTAAATTTTAATGGTTGTATTTAGGGGTGTTTACCTATCCAGCGAAATAAGTCCAATTAATTAAAAATATAGCAAAAACACTATGAATCCAAACCCACCCACGAGAAACGAAAAACTAAAATGGTCTTGAAAGATCACTTAGTTTGTCAATGATAAACTATATCACCTGATACATATAATATATAATTGATAGACTAATAGATATATATTGAGTGATAGACAACTATAACTTGGTATAGTGGTAATACCCACATTCTATTTATAGATTTTCTTCGCTAYCCTTCCTCGCTCAAGCCTTCCACTCTTCGTCTCACTCGTGTCTGATTATGAGCTTGATTTGATTAGTAAGGGGATGAGTTTCTCGGACGAAGCTATTCTATTAGCGATAGGCGAAGAAGAAGATCAGATCGCGAAACCTCTGCCTTTAGATATATATTGAGTGATAGACAACTATAACTTGATATAGTAGCGATCCTTTTAACCTATCAGATRCTTAATTATACATTTTTACTTGGTTCTTTTACACATGATCTATCAGTGATAGACGTTTATGAATGATATAATCTATCAATAATATGGTTCATCAATGATAGACTATATTAGTGATAATCATCTATCGATATATAGTCTATCATTTGATRTATGTGAGTCTATCATTGATAAAAAGCAATGGACTATATCATACCCTTGCATTTTGTAAATGAATGATGTACAATGTTAAAAAATAATTACATAAAAATGTCAAAATAGGCTCGCGGAAAATTTAAAAATATTGTCAAATTTTGAAGGAGTGTCACCCATTAAAATTTTCCTTGAATCTATATAGTCCCTAGTTATAAAAAAAATATTTTTAAATGTCTATTATCTATCATTGTTGTAACTAACAGAAAAAAAAAATAGAGAAATTTCACTTCATACCATAATGACTTTTGAGTTATGCTATTACAATAAAAATTTTAAACTTTATGTAATTACCTTAAAAAAAATAACACATGAACCAAATAGAATTAATTTGCAAAACTCAGATTAAATCATAAATTTTGAAAATTCAAGACTCGTTTTGTAACGTTCATGTTTCTTGTTTTTGTTTCTTTTATCTTTAATGAAGAAAAATGTATTGCATGATTCCAACCTCTAAGAATTCAAGTACGATAAAACAATCTTTTTATTTATGTTTTGGAATAAATTAGAAATGGGAACAATAAATGAGAAAYTAATTTTAGTTGTTTCCAAAATTTCTATACAATTGTAAGACTGTTTCYAAAAAAAGAGAAACAAGAAACAAAGTTAGTTGAAAAATACTTAGATTTCTTAAAAAAATTGGAAACAAGAAAYGGGAATGTTACCAAACGTGCCCTCAATAACCCCAAGTAGACATAAAAGACAAAAGAAAAACTCCTTCGCTTAGGATAATTTAACCAACATTTAGGGAAACCCATTGTTTTCAATGTACCAAAATCCAAATTATATGGCACAAACCAAACTATATAAACCAAAATGGGTTTTATTGAAATTGAAACAAGGGATTATTTTTGTCTACACTAAACCTTCAAATAATTTCAAGAGTAGTTTTTTGAGAGAATGTATGTATATTTGGTATTACCTTACCCTAAGGCCTAATCCAAAACAATGGACAGGAAGTCACATCAACAATCTGTATCCACCCCAATAAATTTCCAGCTCTTCCCCACTGTAAGAACCTAATCAAATTTTGAATTGGAGGAATTCACCAACTTCCCTTCCTTTTCCTCCAAAAGTTAGAATCATCAGGCTAAAAGAAGCATTTACAAAAGGAAAAAAAACAAAAAGAAAGTAGAACCTGTTACTGATAGCAACTCTGTATTTACAGCAGTCGATAAATGCCGCGCCCTCTAAGTTGAGTCAAATCAAAATACTGAACAATGAATCATCTTCGATGACTTAGAATCTCTTCGTTGAGAAGTCGAGTCAGCTCGCCTTGGTCAACTGTTGGCCTATTATCATTTAAGAGAGTATGGAGCGAGTTTAGTTCATCAAGGTTTGCCTTCTTCAACAATCCCCTAAGTACTATATCAACTCCACCAGGCCTAGGATCGACCCCGTCGTTCCTTTCAGTTGTTTGCAAGTTTCGACTAATTTCGGTTGGCTGAGAATGTTGTGGACTCTGCACTTGGGGTCGAGAATAGGGCCGAGAGTCCCAATACTCACCACATACTCGATTTCGATCCATTGCCTCAATAGCCTGCATAAGTATAGAGCAATGCACCAGTATGAGGAACCTATTAAACCATGAATAAGATATAGATGAAGTGTTCTCCTTTTAGAGTTCTTCAATGTATCAACTCAAATATTTGGACCAAGCCCRCTGCGAGAATACGAGTTGTGCACTAGGTGCTATTCTACCTTCCCTTCCCTTCCCTAGGGGCAGAGCTAAAAAAATTCTTAGGAAGGGGGAAAACTTTACATTCTGCTTCTTTTTAGACATAATCTTTCCATTCTATAAATTTAAATTTAAGAAGGGCAAACTAAAGGAARACTATAAAATATTAGGAATTCTATGTATACTTTTTGAATTACCACAAAGTAGGAGGAGACAAGTGCCTCCTCCTTCTTCGCTCCGCACTTGCACTTCCCCCCAAAGCACCCTAGAACGTGCACTAATCAAATCTGACAGCTGTTTTGCCAATTTTCAGATACTGGACAGCCACCATGGCCCAAGGGATAGGGAGATCACTATGTGACTTCTGATTTTCCATACTTCAAGTAGATATGTTCCAAACCACATTTTCAGCTTTGAGGTGCAAATAACAAATTTTAGGATTGGTCATAGGCAAATTTTCTCTTATTRTCATGTAGTTTGCAACCTAACTGGCATGGTTTTAGGTAATGATTTACCTGCACAATTGCCGGGGACGTAAATCCGAACATTTCAAATCCATCTAAACTCCCAGGAGGCTGTAGAGGAGGAAGATTTGTTTTCCCCAATTTATGTTGCTTCGCGATTTCCTGATTCACTCGGTCTCTAACCAACTCCCAGCATCTGGCAGCAGAAACATGAATGAATACCTCGCTTGGACAATCCTCCAAAAAAACCTGAAAATAGATAAAAGAATCTAGGTATATTATATCTCCAATGATAATCACATATTGTACATTAGACTTGAGACACAAGCTTTCTCATAAAAAAATAAAWAAATAAATAAGGGTGGCCTCTGCAACCATCATTGCCATATAAATACCTATTCAGAAGATAACTGCTCAAAATATAGTTACCATTTGAAATTTCATGTTATCAATGAAATTGTTTCTTTCACAAAAAAAAAAAATATATATATATATATATATAGTTACCATTTCTTAATATCCAAAACAAAACTGATTCAAAAATAGATGGAGAAAAATACTCTTATCTTGGTAAGATYAGCAATTGGCATATGAAATTTGAGAAGCAAATATATGACCCTATCCTTAAAGTAGCTGTGATTAATCCATGAAAAAGAAGCATTTTGAACGATAATTATTACAAGTACAACATTTCGTGGCTAACTAAAACGCCCAAATAAAATAGAGCTGGCAGCCCTTCACCTAAAATCACACGAAACCAAGAAGTTATGCTCAAATTTGTGATTTTTCAAGCTTACAAAACCATCAGATTTTAGGAAGATCCTTGGTTAGATTCAAGAGCTCTTTGCAACCTTTTCTTGGACATTCATTCTATCTCCAACTCAAAAGAGAAAGTAATCAAACTTGAGATTTAAGACTTAGAACTCCACTAGTCCAATATTTCTGCCAAGAGACCTCTAAACGGAACCCTCTCATCACATCCTCAATGGAATCTGACCCCTCTCTATAGAAAATCTGGTGATCTAAGCCAAGCTCCCTACTTTGTGCGCTTTAGAACATTTGAGATGCATTTGGTACATTTCACTCTACCAACCTTTTTTTCAAAAGGTCTCTTGCCGTTGTTTCTTCCCTTCTTTTCTTTAGAGACCCAAAAAGTTGTTTTTATAGTAACTATGGAGCCACCTCCTTCCCACGACCTTAGTAATTCCATGATGACAAGAAAACTCTTCTAACAGAGTGGGCCCTCGGACTGGACAGGTAGCTCTAACTGCGAAGTCTCCTTAGCTTGTTTAGCCGTCCTTTTTACTCCTGATTTATAGGGATTTTGAGGACCAAAGAAATGCCATTTCCATTTATCCACTGCCAAAGGTCTGCAATTCTCGTCTCACTATAGAAACCAGCCGCAGCTTTGGTGATGAAGCAACCCTGAACCCCAACCAYCCTATACAACCAAAGCATCCATGGGCCGTATTGGACTCCACCACAGCAAACTTTCATATGTTCAATTAAGCTTTAACTGTCGAAGTCTCACCATCTCACCCAACCTGGTTGGGAAGAAAGAAAAACCAGGTATGACTTCTCCATCTTCAGGGTGTGGTGTGATATTTGCCAAGGTGACCTCATCMCTCATTCTTACTCAATAAGTAGGTCATATCTTCATTGGGACACTGAGACGGGGATTTATGATAAAGAGTTCTTATGTATGTTTTTTGAAAAGATTCAGCATCCTCTCTTGTTGAATACTTTAGGCATCCAAATGAAGGCATTTTAACAGTGACACTTCCAAAAGAATTTCAAGATTTGGGGGCTATCAGAAGATCTTCACTATTGCGTCTAAGAGCCAAACTACTATAGCTTGTCCTACAGAAGTCTCAGAAGCTATTTCATGGTTTCTTTCCATAAGATGAACTACTCTCCTTTATCAATTGGGGTTGAACCCTAATGTGAACCAGTATTTTCAATTCTACACTTTTGGGGTTAGGGATTAGCATCTTAACAAAAAAGAAACTAAACCATGGAAGAGGCAGACAAACTTACTCTAGGGAGTAAAGCCATCCAGAAAGCAKGGGTAAGGAGAACGCAATGAGGCTATGTACACAGAATGGGGGAAGCCATCTAGAACTAGAAGTTACCATGGACAACAATATATTCTAAGATTTTTTTTATTCATAAAAATGATTTCACTGATAGATAATGTACAAAAAGGGGAAACCCCCTCACTAAGTTATAAAAAGGTAAGGCTTTCAAGTTCAAATTAATTCAAAAGAGATGTATCTATAATTACAAAAAAGCTTATAGCCTTCACATCAAAAAAGCAACAAAAGAAACAGAGTCTCCCAAAGGACCTCAAAAGGTTTCCCTTCCCCCAAAATAAAATCTTCAATTCCTTTCTAACCATAAAGAACAAAAAGAGGTAATTCAAGATTGTTCATTCCAAAATTAATGAATGCCCTCCTACCAAGTACTTCATAAATAATTATAAGATAAAGTAAACATGAACCAAAAGGAAAAAGGTTTAACATAATTAGAGCTATAGATAAGTTACAAACTTTACCATGAAAAGTGGTGCTTCTCGTCCTGCATCAAGAATTTCAGAAACATAGTAACAAAAAGTTGTCGGATCTGAAACATTTATATACTTGACCCTGCTCTTAAATCCTGCAAAGTACAACATGAATATGCAACTAGTGGAATCAGGTCCTAGTTGACAAATTTTGGTAACAATCTGTCTTTTGATATCTAATTGAAACTGTAAAACATAGATTTTACTACCTTTTGGGAAAATGGCCTGGCTGTTCGACCAAGACTTTCCTGAAAGCACAACTCCAAATTCTAAAGGTTCTACATTACAGTTGATTCTCCGTACTACCTTTGCCATTCGAGGACCCTTTTGCCTCAAGAATCTATCGACATTAGGTTGATTGCAAGATAAACTTCCAGAAGCAGTTCTATTAGTGTCTGACAAATATGAGGTAGCACTTGTTCCCACATTTCCATGCTTATCCTCATTCGGTTTTCCAGAGCCACATGCCTGTGGTTTTTGAGAATCGGTATCTGTTGGAACTGGAAATACTTTAACACTAGGTCCTAATCCTGCTTCTGAAAAATTGTTGTTCTGAATAGCACTCACTGCACTTCTGACCAATAAGTTAGTATTTTGAGAATGTTTACTATTTGTAGGTACGATGCTCGATTGGCAATTACTCAATTTTCTTAATTTTCTTTCAGTCAACAAGTTGTCCTCCTTTTCTCCCATAGTGGTTGCATCAGTCGCCGGGGTGTGCAAGATTGCATTTTCATTGTGGTTGCACAGGCTAGCCTTAGAATCAACATCTGTGAACCTATCTGAAGTTTTCAAATGCTTTACTAATGAACTTTCCGCTAAACCATTTGAAATTGTCTTCTTTGGCCCATCACCTTCATCATCACTTAGTAGAATGACATTTTCAGGACACGTTTTATCCATTTTKTTTTTTACTTTAACCAAATTCAGAGCTTTTTTATCCTCCTCAGAGAACTGCAAACCTGCAAGCCCYGAACTGGTTGTCACGAAATCGTAGTTTTCTCTTTTCACCTGAGATTTATGATTTTGCTGCTCAACTTCCATCCCAGATCCKTTAAGTGTAGAAACTACCTTCTTATCCACTAACTTCTTATCTTCTAGAAAAGCGGTAACTTCAGATAACCTTTTGCTATGTTGAGACAGGCTATTAATAGAGGTCAAAGTTGACAGTAATGGGGATTGTCTCAAGAATTCTTTCCACTGAGGATTCCCAGAAGACTTAGTTGATAATTGTGAACTGAACTCTSTAGATACTGCTCCTTCAGACGAAGGAGTCACTTTACCTCCATGCATCTTTTCTTTGGAAATGCAAGAACTGAGCGCCAAACCAAGATCCTGCCTAGCCCACCTGTATACTGCACTTAATTTTCCCTCCAATGCTTCAAGAAGCATGTTTAATTCACCAACGTCATAGCGAAATAGAAAAAACCTCTCTCCCCAAGCACAAGAACACAGCTGCTTTGCATGATTCAAGCACACAAATTTATCTGGGGAACAACGACACCCTACTGCAGACAGATGCAAGTCAAAGAGGCATGAACTGCATTCTCTCTCATTAGAGGCATCAAAGTTGCTCTCCATCTTCACTGCCTGAGAAGAACTACAAGGYAAGTTCCTCCTAGCACACTCCATCTCAACACGCCTCTGCATAACAACAAAATGTTTAGAGATGATATGAAGTTTCAACTCAGAACATTATTGCACAAGACTCCACAACTCATCCTCCCTTTAGTCTTCTCTGTTACACCATTTGAAATGGTAAATTCTCATTCAAAATATTATAGAACTGAGTCCTTAAATTCATTCACTTTTCAATAAAAAAAATGTTCAAGAACATGAAAGTAACCTAAGGATGAGAGATAAATGCCCCCAATTCGTACGAATGTCATTGTAAGAGTAATTAGCAACTAAAGGAGAAAGAAAATACCAATGTGAAGATTTGATCTTGAGCCTTCAAATTCATAATTTCAGAATAAATAAGAACCATCTTTTTGGATATGAACTTACCAGTAAATATGAGCGAGAGAGCAAGGATTTACCTTGAATGCTTTTGCTAGGACTCCATCTTTTCCACAAACACTATTCCATCTTAAGTTATCCGCAGTGTTTTTCTTCAGTAAATTAAGTTCCCAGTGTGCTCTCACAGCTTCCCTCGCAGCACCAAGCAATAGTTTATCATGGGAAATAGTAGTTCTTCGTCCCTGCTCACAATATAATTCTACAGCAATTTGACCATGGGGCAACCAGTCAACTGGAGCTACATTAACTGCCTCAGCACAATTGAAACCACTGTTGAATCCTGCATGGTATGCTCGAGGGAAGGTTAATACAAACTCTCCGGGATTCTGAATACATCTATATACAGGTACACCCTCGGATTTCAGTATGGACGGAGAAAGCTGTGTAACCTGCTCAAGGATATAAATTTAGGCCAACATATTCACCAAACATAATTAAGAAAATCATATTGTTGCAAACATTATTGGCATGTTTCATAAACACTAAAACAGTCTATGAAACACCAACTACCGACAAGTATTAGAGTGGAAAAGACGTGCAGCCTCTACTAGGCTGGGAAAAAATCCCCCACCATGACTCTGTGTTCAATTAAAATTGTAAGTGAACTCAGTTCAATGGTTCCATCCTTATGTACCGATTTTTGCTCTTTACTTTGGAGTTTGGTCGGTCCTAAGAGGGTGAATTTCTTGATTTGAATTCTCCTTAATGGTAGGGTAAATTCTGCAGATGTTTTACAGAAGAAATTGGCCTCTAGGGCTTTTCATCCTTCCGTATGTTTGATGTGTTTTAAATCTGGATAATCACAGGGCCATTTGTTCTTCTTATGTCCGTATGCTGCTGTTTGTTGTCTCTGTTCTTCCAAATGTTCAACCTTTCTAGGGTTTGGGATTTCCGGGTCCCTCACAACATAATGCAACTTCTTTGTAGATCAAAGTTTCACTCTAAGGCCCATCTTCTTTGGATTAATGGTTTCAAGGCCATCATTTCASAATTGTGGTTTGAGAGAAACCAACGAACATTTGAAGATTCCCGAAGGTCTCCCACAGATTGCTTCAATCTAGCTAAGTWCAAGGCTTTGTTATGGTGTGCTCTTTCTAACCCCTTCTTTAATTATTCTTCTAGTATGATTTGTATGAWTTTGGAGGCTTTTATAACTCCCCCTAATTGTGTTCTTTAGTCTTTCTTTTTTATGTTTTTATGCTTTATTTCTCATTTTCCTTTTCACTCCTTTTGGGAGGAGTTTGTATCTTTGAACATTTTTGTTCTTTTWCATTGATAAGTATCTTGCTCAAAAAAAAATTTAAGTGAAAAAAGTTCTTTTATGTACTTAAGACATATAAATCGAGGGCATTATTAGATATTGTCACTTTAGTATTTTAAATGATAGGAGAAACTAGCAAGACCACTTTAAATTAGCAAAGGAACTTGCCAGCTTATGAAGCAAATCAGGTTGTTCTTCAAAGAGGTCGGGTAAACGCTTTCTCATAGCCTCCTCTAATTTACCAGCATCATTTCCTGGAACACCATACCAGACTTTAGGATCTCCCCAGTGCATATAGTTCAGAGAGTAGAGGTGGTGATCTTCCACATGCTGCAAATTGAAAATCAAAAATAAAAACGTAAGCAATCTATCTATCTATCTATATATATATATATATATATATATAACTAACAGCTTCATGCTTGGGATTCTTCAAGGAGTAATTTTACATTCTAAATTTAATGTTTGATTTTGAAGAAAAAAAGTAAAACCAGCTTTCGTTAAGATAAATGGAAGTACAAATGAATGGCCAATAAAAAGATCCCACGAGCCTAACCAAAAATACATATATATATATATATATAATGTTCATTATTGAACCTGGAATCACTTATTAGAGCAGGCTCAAAAAGTGGAGAGAGTTGGAATGGCTGTAAGAAGTGGAAAGGCACCCACAGCCCCTGGAAAGAAATTGCTAGAAGCAACCAAATTTTCTGGTAAAATGTAAGTTACAACTTGCGAAATGGCAGTAAAATATCCTTCTGAAGTGATGTTTGGGCTTCAAATCAGTCGCTGAAGGTGACTTTCCCTTCCATCTTCAGAATCTCAGGAGCAAAAGTTAGTTTGGTAAAAGATATATGGAACCCTAACGATCTTAATTAGGATCTCAAACTTAGGACGCTTTTCGACAGGGAACTGGAAGAGTGGAATAATCTCACTGTGTTGCTGGAAAATGTGAAACCTACCCAAAATCCAGACTCAATTCTGTGGAGATTMAAGAAAATGGGGCATTTCTAGGTTAGATCTGTTACTTTTGCTCTTCAAGAAAGCAGAAGAATTCTGGAAGTTGATCTTCGCAATCTGATATGGGAAGGGTGGAAGGGAATGTTCCCAAAAGGGTGAAATTTTTCCTTTGACAACAGCTCTAGGCAGAATCAACACTCAAGATAGAGCGCAAAAGAGAAACCCTTCTCTCCGGATTCCCCCCAAATTTGTGGCACGTTTACTTCCTTTATCATGCTTATTCATATCCTAAAGTTGAAACAAGAGCAGAAAATATAGACCGGCATTGACTCTGAAGTCCACAGGTGCACATAATGACCACGAATACAAAATCTAGTCACCAATAAGTAATGAAGAAAGCCATAGACATTAGGGATGTTCATGGAGCGGGGCGGGTCCCCATCCCCGCCCCCCATTTAATTCCCCATCCCCACAAAATTCCCCACAAAATTTTGTGGGGATCGGGGTGGGGATTCCCCGCGGGGAATTTTTCCCCATTTCTTTTTTTATGTTTTAAATTATTTGTCAATATATATTTTTTTCTTAAAAATTTTTATTTAGTTGCTTAATTTATAAGGTCTAATTCTCTCCATACATATATTAGGTGGGTGGGTAGAGAACAATACATAATTTTTTTGGGCACATATATATTTAAAGAGGACAATATAATTATTTTAGTGTGTATATGTATATATATAAATATTAAAAAAATGACACAGGGCGGGGAATGGGGAATGGGGACGAGGAACGTATTCCCCGTCCCCGTCCCCATCCCCATTTAGGTGGTGGGGAAAATTTTGCCCCATCCCCGCCYGGTGGGGAATTTAAACGGGGATTCCCCGCCCCAGGCTCCATGGGGAAAATGAACATCCCTAATASACATTCCACAYCCACATGGAAGAGGAAAAATAAGTAGAAAATAAAGTTATAATGAAGACAGACATAAGTACTCTTACCCAGCAAAAGGACGAAAAGCACATCCCAATATAAAGCCATGGTACCAAGACTCCAGATATATTACTACTCTCATAGCTAAGGACTGATCCAGGAAGCTTGGGAAAGTTGTTCAGGTTCCAGCCAGATTTTACATACTTATCTTCATCTGATGTAGAGCCATCTTGACAGCAACTCTTTGRAAAACCGCTACCAAACTCTCCAGTTTCCAAATCAGCCCCATATAGCACCTAGTAAGTAGAAAAARACAGAATTTTTAGATCTTATATATATATAAGAGAAAGTTGTACAGAGCATGTAAAGAAAGACACGGGAAAATACTTCCAATATTGACACTCAAATCCAACCTCAATCTCTTCAGTTGGTTTCTCTACCATCCGCCAATATTCACCCTCAATATTTTCCACTGATGGTTTCCAGTGTTCGTTCTCTTGCAGCATGGACGAATTACATCCCTTTGCAGTATCATTGAGTGCTTTACTAAAATATTGAGACTTAAAGTCATTCGCATATTTTTCAAACGATGCTAAAGTAAAATCAGGGCCAGGATCAAATCCAAATCTTTCTGCCTCATAAGACCCGGCATCTCCACTTTTTCCATTTAAAGGGGTAACATCAACCCCCTTTCGATTGCCTCTCCTCCTTTTCCTCCTCATTTGATTGCAGACCCTAGACATCTTTCTTATTGAATCTCGATTCTGAAGCTTGTCAATCCTTTGGACACGAGTTGCAAATTTAGAACTCTCCCAAATATGTTTCTGCTTCAGGGGACATGGAGGTTTCCAAGAAGAAGGTGGGACAATACGACAAATCCCATATGGTTCTGCTTTTGCTCGTATGCTTGCTATATATGTCAAAGTATCTTCGAACTCCTGCCACAATTGTGACAAATTTGGATGTCAGAAAATTTACAACATTAAACTTCAAAATCACTTAACAGGAGAAACGGAGGGTCACAATGCGATGATACAAGAATCCAGAAGCATTGATAAACACCTCTTCAGTTGGGTAAAACACAGGAGCATCCTCRAGGTCTGGCCGGCACGACTCTTCTGGATGCCATCTGGCAACAACCTGTTCCAAGATTCCACTCAATCAAACAATCTCAAGAAAATGAATTGATAGAAAGGGCTGTAAAAACGGCTTGGATATCAGTTCAATTCGAAGAATCACACYGTACCCATCCTTAATYGTTCAAAATACCAGCCTCCTTCCCACTATTCTGTGAACTCACAATAATGTACTTGACCTATTTATGTTTCACGCTGAATTAAGAACTTTCAAAAGCTAACATAACTGACCTGAATTTCTTAATTGCAGGTTAAAAAATATACCCAACAAATTGAAAAGAGAACCTTCCTTTTCAATTTTAAACAAAAATAATGGGCTGAAAATTATGCTTATAAGTAAARAGATGATATAAAAATTTGAGAATTGTAAATGAAGGTTGATATGAGTGATGACCTTTTGGCAATTATTACACTGTGGACATCCACGGATGACTCCCTTTGAAAGGGAAGGCTTTAAAGAAATACCCTGCAACCGAAATAATTACAATCTCAGAAATGAAATCCAAATTAACACACAATGCAGGATAAACAACGATGATGATCATAATGAAGGAGAAAAACCAAAAAGCACCTGATCAAGACACTCGGTAACAATCACGTCATCATAGCAGTAATCATATTGTCTATAGTTTATACATGGTTTACGCCGGAGGGACCTCGTTACTTTTGCAACATCGGCAACTTCTGCCTCAGTTTCCATTTTAACTGATTGTGATTCAGAGACAGATGTTGGCAAACTAACAGGGACATGATTATCTTGTTTTTCATGATTATGCACCTTCTCCCGAGAAAATGATATATATGACTCAAAACCTGGTGGAACTGATGGAAAGTCATCACTATCTTCTTCAACGCAAACCCTTATAAGCTCTGTCCCCATATCACTGCCTAAAAAAAGGAACATTAGTCTTCAAAGTGTTCACTGCACAAGGAATTCATCAATCAAAACAACCTCAAATGCAACTTATTGTCAAACRTACAGCTTACCCTGAAATTAGAGCAACTATGTCATAGTTAAGAAACTATATGCTACCTCCACATCTGCAAGTCAGCCAAAATAGCAAAGTTAATTCCATTGCTAATAGCGGGGAAACACCATTGATATTATCTACTTTACTAGTYTAAGAAGTTGTAACTCGATACATTAGTAAAATCATTTCTTTATCTGTATAGGTAGTAAAAAAAGAATATATATCTTCATTTCAATTCAAACTCAAACAATCAAAGCCAGGAACCAACATAAGCATTTCAAGTATTCAAAGAAATGACAATCTAACTATACTCTCAGGTAAAAAGACACTTCCCTATAAGAGACATAAAACTTCATGACTAATCAAAAACAAAAGGAACATCATGTACTTCTCAAGAAATGTACTGATTTATATATAGAATATGACAGGTCCAGTTTATACTTGGTGACATGAATATGGGAAATATTACCCAGATATATTAACTCTAAACTTTGAAAAAACAGCTTTTCTAATTTGGTTATCAAATGGGGCTGGAAGATTGGGAACAACTTTTTCCATTCGATCAAAAGGGAATATTGCCAAGATGAGAAATGAATTTCAAAAAACTAACAATAATAATACTAAACTAAAAATTGTGGTTAAAATATCACTGACACAACTCTCTCTCTGGGATTTGCTGAAGCAACAACTCCAAAATATTCATCACTGTTCTCCGATTCTCAAAAGCTGAAAATGTAACCCAGAACAATTCAATATGACCTTGACCGTTTCTTTATTATRAAAAAATAATAATAAAAAGTAAAAAATACTCGATGAGAAATTAGAAAAACCTAAATCAGCAAAAAAAACAAAAATTACATATATCGAAATCATGAATGGTTAGARTCCAAATGATCCGATCTAACCCTAACTACCAATCCACCATAAACGACCGTAACAGAAATTACCCAAATGGAACCAAGTAATCCACATAAGACAAACAAGACTAACCTTTCAGGGTGTGCCCTAACAATCGAATCCGGGAAAATTCACCAAGAATCCACCAAAATTTTCGTGGAATAATTTAACAAAAAATAAAAATTGGGGACTTTTCCATTGCAACCAAGCAGTGGATAAGGGTAAACCCGGAAGAAAAATTATAGAACCAGAAGAGTAGATTTCAATTTCATTGAACAAACAAAAAAAAAAAGGAAAAAGGACAAAAAATTTGATCAGATATTTCCCCAAAGTTGTAGGAAAACCCTAACTCAAAAGGGGTAAACCATATATACCCAAGAGATTAAATGCCCTTTTTTCCATGGTTATCTTGTGGGATTAATTAAGATAATAACCCAAAAAAAAAAAAGGAAAATTTTGTAAGGAAAAAACGTGTTTTTTTCGTTTTTTTTTCTTTTCCCCCAATTGGAGATGAAGACCAGTAGTGAGTAGACCACCGAGAAAAGGGACTGGGAATTTAATTTGATGAACTAAAATTGAAATTAACAAAAAAATAATAATCAGATTTTAATTTTGATTTTGATTTAATGGTTTTTTGTTTTTTAATTGAAGAAAGTGAAATAATGTAGCTGGGGGTTGGTTTTGGTTGGAGTTGGGTTTTTAAGGCCGCGTTTTAATTTTATTGCAATTTCTATACCCGCGTCTCGCTATTTTTCTTTTCTTTTTCTTTTTTTACTAAATCACAAAAAATATATATGTGTGTGTGTGGTTGATGTGATAATTAATCTGGAATTTTGACTTTCCTTAAAAAAAATTAAAAAAATTAAAACTTAGAATCTCGTATAAGAGAGGGAAYGTAGAAGAAGCTATGGCTTCTAAAAATGATAAAAAAAAGTTGATGATGAAAATGGTAAAGAGAATGACTTTATCGAGACTTTTAAATAATAGCTTTTCTGATAAATTTCTAASATTAATTGTCACGTCATTCTAGATTATGTTCAAATTATATTTTTTAAACGTTTACTATTAAAACTTTTGAAATAATATAAATATTTTTTAAATAAAATGCYAACTTCATGAGTATTTTTTTAATTTAGCATTGTTTTGGTAAAATATTCTAATATTTGCCAACACTAACTTATTCGACGGTTAACATAATTTACTCCTCTCTATATGTTGGAAGTTCAATCATCAATCATTACATTTTTTTTAGTACAACAAATAGGTGTTGGGAGAATTCGAACTTGTAACCTCTTATGTACGAATTACCGTTAAGCTAAGCTCTGTACTAAAAAGAAATATGAATCTTTAATTAATTTATTTAATAATAAATGGAGGACGAGGAGAAGTCTTTGGGTGGGCCAATAAACCGTGGACATGGAACACGCTTCTGTCACAACGTGGACGGGAGTATCAACTTTTTTCTGGAATTACCATTTCTAGGGGTAAAAGTGTCTAACTTGAATGATAAACAATCAAAATAAAATTAATCTACATGAATATTATTTTTATCTATAAATTTTTTGAATTTAGAATTACATTGATATTGGTTATTAAAACGGTCTTGAATCGAAATAGGAATCGAATATTCATCGATTATCATGATAGTATTGAAACAGCCACCTAAGAAAATAAAATTTAAATGTTGTGCAAAAATGTAGAGGAATAATTATAAACTTTCATCTCTTATATAAGAGGAGTTTTGTTTTTTCTTTTCCATTTTAATAAACAGTGACTTTATTCATTCTTTAAATTTTATGGTGGCATGTAAAATTATCACAAACTAATTTTAATATCTACCGATAAGAAAAGTATAATTGAAAAATATTAAAACATACAAATTAAATTAACAAGTTTAGACCATAAATACTATATTAAAAAACACACATACATTAGGGACTAAAATATATATTTCGTCAAACTTTAAACAACGATAAAATGTTTGAAATTCAAATGTTACTTTACTTATTTTGCGGAGGAGTGTCATCGAAATTTTCCCCATATGTTATTACCTATTTTGATTCAATCATAAAAAGCTGATAGGATGATGTCAAATTATTAGCAGTTTAATTAAAATCAGTGGGAACTAATTAACTGAGGGAAAATTTGAACATCCAACTTTTTGGTTGAAAATATATATCTTAACTATTTGAGCTATATCTAAATTTATCGGGATCACTATTAAAAAAAAGTTGTTCGTGTAATTGAATAATTTTACTATATATAAAGTGATTACAGAAGAGAAACTTTATTGTGTCAAAGGCTAAATCATCTCCTCTGTCAATTTTGAAGATCGTGCACAAGGACGTGAGCGTTAAAATTTACTCAATATTTGTACAAGGTTAGTCCAAGTGTTTATGAATTAAACATATACACGAAGGCAGCCTCCTCCACTCAATGTTATTTTCTTCCCTTCGATTCCGATCGACTATATTTGAGGGTAAAAATAGACTTTCCACACTGAAATCTTAGAAAGGTCAATATGTAAGATCTTTCTACATAAGAGAACCAACACGACTGACCTGGAAGCTCGATAAAGGGGCAAACAACAAGCTCTATGAAACTTCACTGACAGTCGAACGGTTAGACATTTATGTTGAATTATTCCCTATAAATAAAAGCATCATTATCACTTCGTGTACRCGATTTAAATTTGACTTGAGATCTAAGGTCGTACTTTTACTGACTTGAGCGTTGGATTGTTTACTTCCCCTATGTAGGTATTCCTCGTGAAGTTCACTCTAAGCTCAATCATATCGACATCTGTAGAGTGTAGAAGAGTGTTTTTTTTCTCTCTCAAAAGTATACAATTGAAAGCAAAACAGTTATCATACACTTTATAGGTAGGGATGGAACAAGTAGGAGGTAGGGTGGGGTTGGATGGTCAGTTCCYAACCTCGTTGGGTTTTTTTCTCCCCATCCCCGACCTCGTCCCTACAATTTTGGGGTGAGGACGGAGGGATGGTTCCCGATAAAATAGGGGATTCCTCTCTTATTTCTTTATTTTTATAACGTCTTTATTTGATATGTATATATATTTTTTAAATAATACTGAATTAGTGTAATATAATATAATCAATATTTATAAAAATTAACATACTAATGATATTATTATATATACAATGATGTTTAATATTTTATCATTTAAATATTAAACGGGGTAGGGATGCCCTTCCTTGACCCCTCTTGGACCCGATTAAAATCCTCAGTTCGACTCTCTATCTAGTCAAACTGGAGATTCGCTAAGTGGTTTGCAAAACATATTTAGAGGTGATTTTTATTAAAATGTGGGGTGATGATAAGAACTCTCAATCTTAAATATATGTCGTAATCAATTGAGCTATGTTCAAATTGGTGGATTGTCACCCCACAAAATATTTTATTTATATTTATTTAATTTTTTGAAACAAGAAACACGAAAAATGGCCTAACCTTCTAATTTATTAAAATTTCTTCCTCATAATCGAATTTTACAAAATTGAGAAAATTGAAACCGAAACTAATAATAAGCTTTTTGATTTTTATGCATGACAACTATGCCAAATTCAAATAGTTTGATCAGAGTTTGTTAGAATTGATTGAGATTTACCAATTTCGAGTTTATCTAGATTAACTCGTTAAATCAATTATGGACAAACAAAATTAAGAATCAACAAATCACTCTAGAACGAAGTTCTTTGTTTTGTCATTATTTGTTAACTCACCGTACGATCATCATTAAAATAATATATTTTGCTCCATTGATGTGCTACGTGAAGTTCTTTGTTTTGTCATTATTTGTTAACTCATTGTACGATCACCATTAAAATAATATATTTTGCTCCATTGGTGTGTTTCGTGATATTTTTGTTACTTGACTAGGGTTAAATGAGCTTAGGAAATAATTATTTTTCACCAAGCACCTCAATAAATACCAACTCTAAAGTCTAAACCTCCAAAGTTTGTTTGCAAAGGCGGGTATCCTCGGCCAAAAACCTGAGAGGCCGAGACCGAAAGTTCAAATTTTTATTCGAGTGTGCCCTAACCGCTCGCGATTCGCAGCCTGAAAATCGGAGCATTTGGAACCCTAATTCTGAGTTCTAATTGCTCTTGGCCATGGCGGGTCCTTCTTCCTCGGCTCCTTCAGCAGCTTCTTCCTCATCAGGTGCCCAATTCACGTTTTCAAACGCCTCCTACTTTCCTCTTCCTTTTCATCTCCAGCAGTCTGCTCCGCCAGCGGCAGCCGCTCAGTACCCGACTCCCTATGTCGCTGCTCCGGGTCCTCCGCCAGTTCCGCTCCCCGTCGCATCAGTTTATCCGACTCCTGCTCCGGGTCCGGCTGTCTATACTCTCCCTCAATACCAGCAGGTAAGCGACATATGCATAAGATTCGAATTCGTGCCTAGAATTGTGGGGTTTCTGTTTTCTCTTCCAGAAAGAGTTTTATGGAAATTTTGGCATCCGGCGACACATTTATGATAGATTAGGGATTCTTTTAGTTCAATTTATAGTGCTGTTCATCATGCTTGTAACTTTTATTATTTTTTTCGTTTTCCTGATTTTGTTTTTTTAAATTTATTTTGGCAAACAGGCCCAACAACTATTTCAAAGGGATGCCCAAACGATAACACCTGAAGCTCTTGAGAGTGTTAAAGCTGCGCTAGCAAGTAGTGAGATCGAGCATAAAGCAGAAACCAAAAAGAAAGCTATTCCTCGCAAAGCTGCCGGGCAATCTTGGGAGGACCCAACGCTTGCTGAGTGGCCAGAAAGTATGGATTATCTACTTTCTTTGATTTCACGAGACTTGTTATGGCTCGTATTCTTTTTATTTTTATTTTTAACAAATACGTGCTTCTCTAGGAATAGTTACATATAATTTTCTCGAGTCTTTGAAATCAGCTTGATGGACATCTCTTTTAGCGATATGCATCTACCAAAGGAAAATTTAGGCTGGAAACCTCTTTTAAAGAGAAGGGAAGACTAGATACAGTGGTAGACATCCAACCACGTGAGAAACAATTTCATTGATATATGAAATTAGAGATACAAAAGGGAGAACAAAAGGGAGAAATTCCTATCCACTGGAGTTAAAAAAACATCTCCAATTGGATATCAAATCTTTAAAACTATAATGTTGGAAAGATGGAGAACATTTACACCATGAGACAACCATATAAACAATGAAATCAAAAAAACGATCAAAGGGGAGCTCATTTCCTTGGAAAGTCCAATGATTTCTTTCCATCCAAATAGACCATAAGCCCGTACGAACAAAGTGCATCCATAGAAGCTTTTTCTCCTTTGTGAAAGGATGGCCTGTGAGAAGGAAGGTCAGTGAACTGTTTGCTCTAAATCAAAAGGCATTGGTTGGAAGTGAACAACAGACATAGTTAGAGAGACCATTTGATATTAATGAGGTGGCTATAGTAGTGAGAGAAAAGAGAAGCTTAAAGGCACGTGGCTGAGTGGATGAAAAGGGGAATTCCTTAAAAAAAATATGGAGCACAATCCGAACGCGATACAGAGCCCCGTGGATTGCTATTGCCAGATGCTGTGTGACGGTGAACTGATGGTATAATTGTTAGCTAGGGGATGGGAAGATCATTCGTTTTTTGCTCAATGAGTGGACAAGTGATTATCCTCTCTACACTAGATTTCCAAGATGTTTCAGGATAGTTGTTCGTCTCCTCACAACTAAAGGAAAATTATTGCATGTATACACTAAATAATCCAAATCCATTGTAGTATAAAAACAAGGTCGTCTCCACAGCGATTACAGTTTTACTTGAAATAGTAAATAAAAATACTAAAAAGTAAAATAAAAATAATTTGTTTAGAGTGATCTGGATGCTGTAACAGTAAATGATAAAAACAAAAAAATGAACAAGAACAGAAATATTATGCGATTCTATCCTGGAGCATCCGAAAATGGAAAACAGACAGAAAATGCGAAATAAATGCAAAATTAAGGTAAATCAAAGGGGAATCACTTTAATGCTCTCACTCACGTCTAGCTATGCTCTAGTAAACTCAAAATGTTGAATGCCCAAACGGACATGGCTCTCTCCCGAGATACCCAAAAGGGTGAGTCTCATCCCTAAGTACTCACCATTCTATTTCAAAGAGAGAAATCTTACGGAAATAGAGGCAAACACGCAACACAAGGACTTTTCCAAACCTCAAGTGAGCATAGCAAACCAATAATGTTGGTCAAACAAAATCAGTAAAATGAAATAATAAAAACACCTCTATTAAATCAGCATAAATATATATGAGTTACTAAAACATAAATAAACAAAGCTA